CGGGGTTCAGGAGTGTTTTAGCCTCACCCCACATTCCAGGATTCTCTCAGCTGTGTCTTGCTCTTGAAGAGTGGTTAATTGTTCTTCTTGTAAGGGGAGGGCAGTCAGGAAGGACCTACGTCACCATCTTGGTGACATGACCCCTGCTTTGATTTTAAATCCTATTCCTTGGGAGCTGTTTGTCCACCTAAAGGACGGGAGCGAAACCATCGGAGACCCCGGTGGGGCCGTCCTCATCTGTTTGTCTGGAGTTTCACGCTGGAGACTGAACAGATCACAAAGCACGTCATCACCTTGCTCGTAGGGAACCTCAGCACAGGCAGGCGGTCCCCGGCGAGCGTGGTCTCTCTGCTCCTCTGCACTGTCCCTGTGCCACAGATTAAATAGGAGAATTTTGCTTGGTGTTTCTCAACGTGTCCAGTAGCACCAACTGTAAAGCATCTGTTCCTTCTCTGTTGCAGAGCATGACAGAATTTTTCAGAAGGTCTAAATTTATTATAAACCAGGATGTAACTGTCATTTTGAACTCTGACTTCCCATCTAATTTTTTAAAAGAGGGACGAGAGGACAATGTTGTGTGGGAGGAGGGGATGATATGAGTAGGATCAGGGGTCACACCAGCCCTCAAAGATGCAGGGGTTACTGGGTAAGGTTTTTCAACAACCAGAACTGGAAACCGTGATGCTGGGCATTCCGGCGTGGATGGGGTTGCCCCGACTTGGACTATGCAGACATATAAATGGGTCGTAAGAGAGACAGGCGATCACATTATCTCCTGCATTTTCCTGAGTGGGTCTCATATGTGAGAGATTTTTGAAATTCAGGAATTTCTCTTTAAAAAAAATCCTCTCAAAAGGCACATTATGCTTAAGACTACTCATTAGTAGTCAGTAACATGCCTCAGAGAAAGGCACATATACCTGTAGTCACGTTTCAAGACGTAAAGAGAGATTGCAGCTGGTTTAAATCTCTCATTGGCCCCTAGAAGCAGGGACTGAGTGAAGATGTCGGGGTGTGAAAGCCAGAGAGAGCAGAATATACAGGACTTCCCGCGGCTGTGGAGGGCACATCTCTTCTAAAAGGATCTCTGTACATCAAATAAAACCCTGTTCCTCAAGTAAACCATTTCTGCGAGCCACACCGGCCCTGTGTAATGCCTGCGACCTTCGGCTGAAATTGAGTCCTGCTCCAAAAGCTCGTACCAGTCCTGGTTTGTCCCAGACTGACACATGTGACTTTCTGTTTTAAAACAGGGGGTGCCACAGCCCAGCAGGGGTAAGCGGGTCACCCTGCTGCACGTCACCAGTGCTCACGGCGGAACGTGAGCGTGGAGGAGGAACGTTCCAGGCCCAGCGGGAGCACGGAGGAGGGAAAGGCACATCCACAGGAGGTCCCCCAAGGCCGCTGTCAAATCCGAGAGCTCCCACATCTGATGGAGCTTAAAGTGCTGTGGTTCAGCAGACAACCCGGCCTGCTGTAGGTCTCCTCTGAGGACAAGGACAGACCTACTTTAGGATATGGGACATGCCCGTGTGGCTGGAGGCCCACCCTGCACCCCCGAAAGCCTGGTACAGAAGGGACACTTTGATAGGTTACAAAGCCACTTTGAAATAAAATACATGGGTGGGTCAGGATCCTCTGTTAGGGCTCCTTTGTACAATTTCAACTGTTTTTAGTATTAACTCTGAACGCAGCTCTTTTTAAGGCACAGATTATTACAGAGACATGAAAAACTGCCAAGTGTGATAAGAGTTAACAGCCCTGTTATTGCAGCACAGAGATGCAGAGTCATTCAGGGTCTCCCACGTGATGTCACCCCACGGCTGGACCAACTGTAAGGCGGCAGCTCAGAGACTGGAAGTGCTGTTTGATCTCCCACCTAATACCAGGTCTGCACCTCCTTCGATATTTTCTCCCATTTATTGAAGATGGCAAACCCCCCAGCACCTAAAACTTGTACAGCCCATTGACTCTAAGACTGAATTACACCAATTAATTTTCACAGTGTGGTCATATGTGGTTTTATAATTGATGGCAAGGGTCCGGTGTCACACACTTGGGTGGGAGTCTCACTACGGTACCCTGCTTGCTGGGCATGACGGAGGGCCACTGTCTTATTAGTCTGTTCAGGCTGCTGTATGAGCCACATGCTGGGTGGCTTATCAACAATGCAAATTTATTTCTCCCAGATCTGGAGGCTGGAAGTCCAAGCTCAGACACCAAGGTGGTTGGGTTCTGGTGCAGGCCCTCTGCCTGGCTGTAGACTGCAGCTTCTGACTGTGTCCTCACGTGATGGAAGGGAGCTCTGGGGTTTCTTGTATAAAAGCACTGATCCCAGCCACGAGGGCTCTGCCCTTGTCACCTAGTCACCTCCCAAAGGCCCCGCCTCCTCATGCCATCACCTTGGGGATTAGGATTCAATACACGAATTTGGGGGAACAGAAATGTTCAGACTGTGACAGCCACCTTCACCCTACAGGGCTAGGCTCAGGTCTTATAAGGTAACATACGGCCTGCTGTACAGTACATTCCTAGTAAATATTTCCTTTCTTCCTAATTCCCAAACCAGTATTCCAGGATAAACTTCTAGGTTTATCCTCTCATCTTGGAATAAGAAGAAAAGATCGAGGAAAAAAAAATGACAACAAAGTGCAATCCATTTTAGAAAACTTTCCTGAATAAATGCTTTAAATTAGTAAAGTTTTAAGCAGAAAAAAAAGAGAAAACTTTGATTACCTCTGCATTTGCTATCTTCAGTGGACTCTTGTAGAGGAACAAATGAACCATGTTCTATTTATTTGCAGTTTTATGACAAATTGAAGCCACAACCTTCTAAATTATTTAAGATCAATAAAAATCATTTCAAACTACTTTCTCAATGACCAATGGCCCTGCTTCAGTCAAAAATCTGCCAACATTTTTATTTAACAAAGCGACAAGATACCACAACTAGCAATCATTGGTTTGGAAAGTTAAATAATATTAGGGTACAAAGTCAATGTTACTCCCATAATGATTAGCAAAGTTATTTAGCTTTCTGAGTGCTAAACTACTCCCAAATCTTATTTTACAAACATTATTGAAAACTTATTAGAACTGTATTGCCTGCTGTGATTACAGATTTCAAGTAAAATTCCCATGTTATCTGGAATCTAGACTTAATAGGCTCAACTAAGAGTTTCTTGGTCTCTCTGGAGTGTCTCCAGCTTTCCCAGTTTGAAGGTGGGGGTACATTGGTTTGTCATTAAGTACTTGGAGTTCATAACATAAGGAAAGAAGTTTTATAGACTCTTCATATCAAATTGACATAAAACCTGAAAATGGCTCATGGAATAGCAAACATGGATTTGTGATAGGATTTCCTACTAGAATTGCTACAATCTTAGGCTCCCAAATAACACAGATTTTAAAATGATCTGAAGTACAACCAGATATGAGATGTAGATGTAATATATTGGATATATCATTTAAAATGTGTGTCCAATGGAGTTGACATTTGAAAAGAAGAAAGGCAAACTGAGTTTAAATATTGTCTATAAAAGTCAGTATTAATATCCCGAGTCTGGCTGAATCAGTCAAAAGCAAAAAAAAAAAAAAAAAAAAAAAAGTTTAATAAAATTTCAAATAAAATGGTTCAATGCTTTTAGAGTTCAATTTTTTAAATCTAAGATATTAAAGTAAACATAAAAACCCTTGTGGTGAGAAAGTCTGTAGAGAATAAAATACTCTGGGTAGTTTTCAAAAAATTAATCTTGTATTATATTAATTATGCTTATATTATTTTAAGGAAAGACATTTATTATTTGCTTATTTTTAAGGAAAGAGATGTTAAACACACAGTAATCTGACTCTTTTCCCCCCAGTCTATGGTGGTCTGTAACGGGCAGTGGAAGACTACAACTTACTGGCTAAATCTGGCTATTGACTGCTGTGTTAATAAAGTTTTCTTGAAACACAGCTGTACTCATTAATATATATTGTCTGTGGTTACTCTGGCTACAACTACAGAATTGAGTAGTTGGAACCGAGGCCATCTGGTGTTGTGGTATGCTGGAACGTGTTTCCAGATAAAATGAATGGTAAAACTGTTATTTAAAAAAATCCATAGGTACTTGAGTTTAAAAGTAACATTTTCAATGTTAAGACATATTTTCTTTAGGATTTCTTTCTAACCATTAAAACCCAACAAAAGCTGCACCTTCTAAATCAGATATTTAAAACGTTTCAGGTAAAGATACTAAAATTTCAATCAGAAATATTTAGACGTAAATGATTTACATTTGTAAATCCTACTATTGATCAGAAAAGATGGTCCTTAAACGAGACCAAGCTGTATGGTGGGCTTGTAATTGTAATTAGCGGAAGCAGGAGTTTCCAACATGCCTTGTAACACAAAGAACCCTGAATATTAATCAGCATGTCAGTGTGGTTTTCAAGCTGCACCACACACGAGTTTCCTCTGCCTCCTTAGCTGCGTCCCTAAAATAGCTGAAGGTCAAAGCCAGAGAGACATACCCTTGTCACTGACTGTGCTAACCGTGATTGACACAAGTGGAGTTTACTTCTTCCACTAAAATTATGGAGAAAAAACACCCCCAAACTCAAGGGCAATCATTAGAACAATCTTAAGAGAAAAAAAGGGAGAGAAATAAATTAAAAAGGAATCTAACACCACGATCAACTCAGACTTCACTTTCACCAGAAGCTGATTTTTGGAGTCACACATTTTTAACTGTTGCCTAAAGACAGTTGTAACAGGGAAGACGTCCATGAGAAAGTGCCATCCAGCCAAGATGTAAAACCACAGGGATCTGAAACAACCATCGGATCATCAGGCTATTGACAGCTGGGGAAATTCCACATGTTAAGAAACTCGACTGTGAAGAAATATTCAATGTTTGAGAAATACACTCAGATCTGTAACTGAATTAGACAAGCCTCGTTGTACGTAGGGCTCAGCCGGCAACTAGGATGCAAAGCAAACGCTGGGTTACCAGAAGTGCATTTATCAGCCACAGTGATTTATTGAGTGCTTTAATAATACAAGTGTACATCAACTGATCCACAGTCAAAAGTGGCAGGTCCCTAAGAAATTTACAAGCACTTTAAGTAAATCAAAATACATATTATTTTGTTCAATAGTCTTCTGCCTGGGGACAGAAGGCTAGTGATAAACAGAGTCTCAGTAATGCACAGTGATTCTGATTGAAGCTTTTTTACAAAAACTTGTTCCCAGTGGCATGCACCCACCAATAAAGACTTCAGTACAAAAAAATTAACCCTAAGCACTACATTTAAGTAGAAACGAGATATAACTCTGAATCTGTTTTCCCGAAGATCACATAAGAGGAAAGAAAATCAAAATAAAACGATCCCAAAAAACCAAAAAACCAAAAACAAAACCACACGGTAATACAAAGCTTTGTAAGAAAGCTCTTATTATGACAGATCCAACATTGTTTGCACTGAAAACAAAAGTTCCCAGCCACGCTGAGGTGGGAAAAAAGAAAAAAAAAAACAAACCCCAAATCTTTCAAGTTAATAGAAATTAAAAAGGGAACAAAACGCGAAGGGATGGGGAGGGAGAACAAAGGAACAGGGTGGGGGGCGTGACATTCCATCACAAAACGGTTCAAAGTGTAATAAAAATAAGACCACCAGAGCCGAGGTGCGGGGACACCGACCCTATGTGGCGTACCGCTTGGTCCACTGTCTGGCCATCCGGTCGTGCTCCGCCCTGTTGGTCATGTACTGTGTGGCGATGCTGCCCACCAGCGGGTCAGCTGGAAAGGAAGCAGAGTCAGGAGTCAGACAACGCCAGCACCCTTCCCTTTTCCAAGTCGGGGAAGAGAGGAACATCTGGTTCAAGGAGTGGGCAGAGACGAGGTGATGCGCTCGGACCTGGAATCGCGTCACCTTAGCATCGACCTGCGTCTCAGACCACATCTCACCCCCCGCAGCCCAAAGGGCACCTGCCTGTGCTTTTACTGATATCTCCTGTCCTATTTCCTGACCAGCTGACTCCCTGTCCCCACAGTACTCCCCCCGCCCAACCCCGCCTCCCCTTGTCTTCAAGCAGACCTTTATTTGACCGAGAAAACGCAGGTGGGCGGTGGGGGAGGGGGGGCGCCTTGACTCGGGTTATTCCCGGGCAGTGGCCGACCTAAGCTGAACAGCCCAGCAGCAGCCGTGGGTGAGACCCGGTGACACCGGGCGAGAGGCCGCTCCTGTCTCTAAATTTGGGGATATCAAAATCCACGAAGCTCTCTGTTACAGAAATACTGATAGATGTTAACAAGCGCTGACTTTCCGCGTTGGGAAACTTTAACACATTGGAGGGGATGGGGGACTGTGCCAGCTGAGCGAGGCATGAACAGTCTCTGACATGGGGGCTTCCTGGGACAGGGCTCCCCCCAGATGGAAACAACCAAAGCAATTTTAATAAATGTAATTTAGGTTCCTGAAGATCCCAGAATCCACCCGTTTCTCTCCATTCTCTAATTTCACTTCTTCCTTGAGTTTTAGTTCCTGTATTTTTGTTGTTGAGAATTCAGCTGCATTAGAGAAAGTGGGTAAGAAGGAACCAAAAGGGGAAAAAATTAGCAAAAGCTAATGTTAAATATGAAAAAGGCCATGGAAGTGCGCCTGAAGCCTACCACCAACCTGTACCTTGGGAAGACTCTGAGACTCTAGGAAGACCCAGGAGCGTGCTCTCAGTAATCAAGGAAGAAAAGAAACATCGCCTTTTAATGACCTGCTGAGGCTGATGGTAACAAGGCCGTTCAAAGTCCTCCCAAGACTTTGCTGAAGTTTGAACAAACCTTGTGTAAGTTTTCCTGCACCTGTCCTAACTTGCTATAATTATTCTAGGGAGAGACCAGTTTCTTACATTCACTATACATCACAATGAATAGACTCCCCAGTACATAGGTTTGTTCAGAACGTCTGCCTCTCTGCCTGCTCTTTGTGATCTTGTCCTTCCCTTGCCCAAATGGTGAAACTAGCACTTAAGCCAACCCAGCCAGGGTTCAAGATGATCAAAACCAGCAGTACCAAAGGTAGACACAAAACACCTGGGAATTGGCAAGATACTTAAAAAAAAATTGTGGTCTTTCAGTTCAGACTAAGTAAGGACCTTATTAGAGTCTAAAAAGAGCCAAAGAGAGATCTGAGTCACATTTTTTTCTGCCTTTGAAGAAGAAAACCACCTTGTTCCAGTTTCTGGAATGCAAAGCCTTGGGCGGAACTTAGGCACCCTCAGTAGAGCGTACATTCGCGTCACTCCAGACAAGCTGTCTGATCAAGTACACTCTTCCCAGTGACACGCACTGACGATTCATCAGTACTTCCTAACTTACTGGTCTAGGTAAAGGACAGACTTAAGGATGACCGCCAATTTTAATGTTCTACCTCAAATCCATCCTCATGGAGAACGGGTATATTGAAGAGAAGAGTCTGCTGTTTCAGCTCAAAGGAGGGAGAGGGGGACAGATGAAGGACAAAGAGCAAAAGGCGTGGGATGGGGAAGGTGTTAATAGCATTTCAGCAGGTACAGAAGGGGGAAAAGTTCAAAAACAGGTGAGAGTGCTGATTTAATGTGCACCATGCAGAAATTTTTTATATGCTTAAATAATTAACAGTAAATTTCTTTCAGAGTTCCTTGTACCTTTTCAAATTTAATTTTAAACAGAAAAATATTTTTCCACCTGCAAAATTATACATGCTAAATATAAAAATAATAATTAATAATTTAAGACGTCACCTCACACAACACACAAGACAGAAAGTTGTAACTGAAAACCGTCTGCAGATTCACTGAGTCAGTCACACTGTTAACATTTTGACTTACATCTTCCTAGACTTCTTTTCTAAACATACAATTAAAAAAAAAGATAATAGCCTGCTTTTGTAATCTTGAAAAAAACTCACTATATGGTGAATAATTTTTATATCAATAGTTACAGACCTATTTCATCATTTTTATTTTTTTTAATTGAAGTATAGTTGACCTATACTATGTTAGTTTCAGGTGTACAACATAGTAACTCAATATTTTTTATAGATTATACTCCATACAAAGTTATTATAAAACACTGACTATATTCCCTGTGCATCATTTTTAATATTATTCTGAATTAATAACCAGTTTCCTGTTTAGAGACATTTGGATTCTTTCCAATTTTTTTGCTTTATAAATAATGCTGTGAAGAACATTATTATGCTCGCATTTTTGTAAATTTATGCAAATCTTAAATTTAAAGTATAAATGAAGTAATAGAAGTGTAAAATGAAGGAATTTAAAAATCATGTGTTATCAATCAAATAGTTTTAAATGCTAAAATGTTTTGCTGAATAGAAGAAAGTTAAGACCCCAAGTTAACTGAATCGAAACTATGCAATAAAAGTGCATCCAATGACTACCACAGTGAATTAGGGGGAATAAGACACTTTTTTTTTTGTCGTATATTTATAATAATGACCTGAAGTAAGGTTGAATCTCATTATAGGGCTTCATGTTTCATGGATACAGGTATGTCAGGGATGAAATAACAATGTCCAACAAATTATTCAACCTGATTTTCTCGAACAATTATTCTAAAATAGAAGGAAAATTTTCCCATCATTTTGCTTTCTAGGTTGTTACTACTCTCCCAAGTCTTTACCAGTCTTTGAGATATCATCTATCAGCCTTCCTCCTCTGCTAGAAAAAAACCACGAGGTTTATCTGTGAATAAGTAAATTGAAATCGAAGTCTCCTGCATTTTCTGCCTTTGTTCAGCGATTATTTGAATTTTTGAAAAGAGGTGCATGTTCATACTTTGCTCTTCTCACAGCACAGGGCTCGATGACTATGAATATTTGACCCTTCCAGTTAGTAGTGTGGCACCTATTAGAGGGTCCTTGAGGCAGACGTACAGGATTTACAGTGTGGTCAATGGAAAATCATGGGGTGGGAGGTGGGTACACAACGCCTTCCATCAACTAGACCTCTAAGCCACAGCGCCACACCTGCTTATAAGAATCATGCCACCATTTGTTGACACAATACTAGTGATGAAACATAGCCTGGGTGAGAACCCGGGATGGAAAAATCACCGATCGTGGCCTACACACCTTCTTTTCCCTTCATTTCTACTTCCCTGTCTCACCTCCGCCTCCCAACACGGCCCCAGGCACCTGAGGAGGTGCTGTTCAGTAAATGATGGTGGTGGACTGAACTACCATCAGGACTATTTGCAGGTGAGTGCAAGGTGACCTTACTGAGTGCTCTGTCCCCTCTCCCCTGTTGTGGAGATTAGTGGCATAGGCACCACTGATTCAGAAGAGAAAGGCTCAGACAACCCCTGCCACCCTGTCTCAAGCCTCGCCTCTCCTGGCTGGGGCTACGCTGGCAACACTGGAAGCCAAGAGAGTTCCTAGCCCGTCCAGAAAAGGAGGGACACAAGGATCAAGACTAACGGGGCCAAGGAGCAGCTGCAGGGTCAGAGGGAGCGGGGAAGCTGAGCTGCCCAAGTGGTTCTATTTAGAAGCCAAAGAACATTCTACCTTGGTTGGTAGGTGGCATGGGAGAAATCACATGGAAAAAAATGTTTTGACTCCCTTTTCTCAAGAAAACATATATGTTCTTAAAAAGACACAAGCAAAAACGGTGTAAGATAGGAAAGAGGTGGGGTCCAGACTGCCTGCCTTTGTTCCACTGATAACTGCGTCATGCTGGGCAAAGGATTTAACTTCTTTGTGCCTCAGTTCCCTCAACTGCAAAATGGAGACAAAAACAGTGACCAGCCCCATAGCTGTTACAAGAAGTAAATGAACTGATTATTGTAAGGCACATACAAAATTTTTTATCATTTGCAAAATGAAGGCAGGCCACATGAATATTCACAGGCATCTTTGAAAAATATAAATCTGCCTGGTCTTCTTGAAGACATTCTCTACAGATAAAATCCGCAGTCCTCAGTATGGCTCCCAAGAACATCACGATCTAGACCCACTTTTTCTGGCTTCTTTCATCTACGCTTTAAACCAGAATCAAGGACTCAAGGCTTCTGCAAGAAGCCCCGCTCCCTCCAGCTGCTTTCTGCGCCTGCTGGGCGGCTGCTAATTTCTCAACATTTAGCTCAGCAGATGCTTCTGGGGGCTTCCTAGCAGGCTTCTGTGCCCCGCTTCTGTTTACCTGTAAATGTGAGGGCAAAAATCTTCTGTCTGTTTCTTAAATCTTCAGAAGACACTGTCTTTTTTAACAAAATTAATTAACTAATTTATTTATTGACGTATAGTCAGTTTACAATGCTGTGTCAATTTCTGGTGCACAGCATAATGTTTCAGTCATACATATACATATATTCATTTTCATAACTCTTTTCCATGATAGGTTACTACAAGATATTGAATACAGTTCCCTGCACTATACAGTAGGACCTCGTTTATTTTATATATAGCAATTAGTATCTGCAAATCTTGAACTCCCAATTTGTCCCTCCCCAACCCCTCCCTGTAACCATAAGTTCGTTTTCTACACAGAAGACATTGTCTTTAAGCAAGGACCCTGCACTGTGATCACGTGATACCTGCCAAGACTGCCAGTCTGGAAGCTGAGGAGGGAAGTCTTTACTTTTCTGTTACCATTAGAGAAGAAGGAAAGCTCACTGATCTGAGACCAAACCCGCCATTCTCAGTAGCCCACACTGGCAGTCACAGCCAAAGAGACCCCTGCTTTCCATCAGGGGAAGCATCTGCCTAAGCCCTGCACCCGTGAGGAGGGGCTGCCCAGCAGCTGGCG